AGAGAGAGAGAGAGAGAGAGAGAGAGAGAGAGAGAGAGAGAGAGAGATTGATTTGAGGATTGAATCTAACAGTCATTTGTGCAGAGAAGAGTTTAAAGTCAGGGGATTGGCTTAGGTCAAAGGAGAATTTTTCACCCAGAGGGTTTCTCGAAGATTAAAACATAACTAAGTCCGGTCTAGACTGCCCCAGATTCAGTTTTTCTGTAGGAGTGTTCTCCGTGTTTCCCTTTTTATTCCCTAACTCTCAACACTGCAGCCTCTTAGGAACGGGTCCAGACCTCTCTTCTTGGTTTCTATTTCTTGAATATGGACGCAGTGTCATGGCACTAGATGCTAATAATGTTCTCAGGGTGCTGATCTCTGGAGAAGCTTCTTTTCTGGGGTTCATCACAAGATCTCCAACCAACAGGAGCTGACAGCTGAACCTGGTAGTCTAGAAGGCATCCTGCATGTGCAAACCACCAACAGACACAAACACGCTATTCCTTAGCATCCCATTCCCTGGCTGCTGTGCGCCCACCTCAGCTGCCCCCAATCAGCTACTCAAATAGAAAACGGAAACATCCATCTTCCTTACGGCGTTCCTACATCCTCATGACATCTGTGACTTACCTCAGATATGTCGTCCGCTCTCTGCCTTCCTCTAAGCCACTGTCATTGTCACTAGAACTACCCTACCCGTCCTCATATCTACCATAACACTTCCAGCAGGTGATTAAACCAAACAAAAGTGAAATCTCATTGCCCTTCTGTCTTTTTTTTTTTTTTGGTTTTTTTTTCGAGACAGGGTTTCTCTGTATAGCCCGGGCTGTCCTGGAACTCACTCTGTAGACCAGGCTGGCCTCGAACTCAGAAATCCGCCTGCCTCTGCCTCCCGAGTGCTGGGATTAAAGGCGTGCGCCACCACCGCCCAGCGCCCTTCTGTCTTAAATCTTTCATGGGCCTCTCTGGCCATCTGCAGGATGAAAGCCGCCTCCCCTGTCCCCCATTCCACCTCTCCAAATCTCTTCTACTCCATTTCTCAAATATGCAATGGATTTTTGTGGTGTTTTAAATGAGAATGTTCCCCAGTGGGCGGCACTGTTTGAAGAGGCTTAAGAGAATGTCCCCAGTGGGTGGCACTGTTTGGAGAGGCTTAAGAGGTGTGGCCTTGTTGGAGGAAGTATGTCATAAGCAGTGAGTTCTGAGAATCTAAAGACTCTCAGCATTTCCATCTCCCTCTCTGTGTTGTGCTTGCAGTTTAGGATGTGAACCTCCAGCTTGCTACGCCAGTGGCCACGCTTGCTGCCATTCCTGCATTTTGCCCATTCTGATGGACTGTAAGCCCAAATAGACTCTTTCTTTCACGAATTTCTTCAGTCACGTTAATTTACCACAGCAACAGAAAAGTAATGAGTGCAATTTCCTGCCTTTGAAGTCATCACTTTCTGTCTGTTAATACTCTTTCTTGGCTCTCTGACTGGCTTAGGTCTTAATCATCCAGGTTTCAGATTTAATGTCATTGATTTCCTCAGAAGAGTCCCTCTAACCCAAACAGCATAATGTTCTTTGAAGAAAGGGGGCTGTATTTTTACCCAGATGACTGGTACATGCCAAGGCCTTAATCAATTTGCTGAATGCACAAATTAACCAAGGTGCACTATCTTGAAAGCTGATAGCTTGCTCAATTATCTGTGAGGCAGCCGCATAAGGTGGCTTAAGGCACAAGCGTGAGCACAAGCAGAATTGCTGCCACAGAGGCAAGTCAGAAGAGATAGGAAATGACCATACAGATCAATGCCTCTGCCTCATTTTACTGCCACTGGCCAATTCATTTGACAAGTGCTGTGTCAGTGCCCTGGACACTGGAAGGTGGGCTGGCGGGCACTGTGAGGAAACATGGCAGACCTCGGTGGCTTTGATGCAGAAGGACAGAGAAATGATCGAGAGCAGTAAGTCAAGCTGGAAAGAGAAGGAGGCAGAATGACAGACGGACACGGTGGGTGCTGGAGAAGAGGAAATGAGGGACAATTTGCTGACAGTCACAGGTGAGAAGGCTGGAAGGGGAAGTGGCCTTGTGGTCAGCGCAGCTCTGATGATGATCTGGTACAAGAAGAGTATGTTCTCAATGCAGTTTCCACTAAGTATTTCTGCAAGCCTTCTCTGCTTTCATGAATACCTTCCCATTTTTTTCTGCCTTCTTTCCAACACTGACTCCAAATATGCACATTTGGATATCTAAATACTGGCATTACTTACTTCCCCCCACTCAACATTTCTGGGCGGCAAAGGGTAGTGGGCAGTGATGTCATAAGCGATTTCTTCCATAAACCACTTGAAACTTTTGCAGTTGTGATCTTCTCGAAATTTCTTCAGCTCAGATATATCCCCATAGGGCAGTGCCTTCGACTCAGGACGGCTAGCATAGAAGTAGTCTTTATATTCATCCCACCAGACTTCCACGACTCTAACATAATTCTGCGGGAACAAAAATTGCAGATACAGAATTAACTGTAAAGGCATAAACCGCCCACCTTGGATGTATACATTACAAACAAAATACAGTGAACTCATTAGTCAGGATGTGGCATTTAACTAATCAACGAAAATAAGAGAGCCAAATAACACTAATATGTTATTGTCCAAGTATAAACAGATCACGGATGTAGGTAGATTCAGTTAAAAAGTAGTGTACATAAAAGCAGACATTTCTGCGGTGGAAGATCATAAATTCTAAGATATGCATTCTGTTCTGATAATGGATGAAGCATGTGAAGCCCAGGCAGGGTTTCTGAGGGCCTGGCTGCACAGTAAGGTTTGATCTCGTCGCCTTCCTTTCTATCAGAACTGCGCTACTGATGCGTAGAGGAGATCTCACCCTCGGAGCTATCACTACAACGCTTCCTCCTCAGGCGACCCGTCCGTCAATCTTTCCAGGACTGTCACAGAATCGCTGTACTATAACTGCAAACTAACTGTATGCCTTCCACAGGTGGCTGACACAGAGGAAAGGCAGCGAATGACCAAGAAAATAAATGGACACTGTCATCAGCGACAAACCTTTAACTTGAAGGTTTGGGCAGGATTAGTGAGAACTTCCAAAATTAAAAGAGGTAAAACTCTGTCGTCCAGCAACCCAAGTATAGTGAACATTTTTTAAAGATGAGGATTCAGCCCACCAATGAGATGCCTAAACTTCTGTGCAGAATTTTCAAGCATTCCTAGGAATCAACCTAAGTGTCTGCCAACTGATGAATGGATAAAGAAAACATGATATGCACAACAGAATGCCCAGTCTTTAAAAACAAAACAAAACAAAACAAAACAAAACAAAAAAACAGGAAAGTCTGTCATCTGCAACAACACACAGGATATTATGGTAAGTGAAATAAACTAGTCACAGAAAGAGAAATGTGTGTGCTCACTCACAGGAAGGATGTAAAAGAAACTAGTGTACAGAAACACAGTGGGATGTGGGGTACCAGAGGATGGGAGTGGGAAGGCTGCGGAGGTGTTTGGGCAAAAGACACAGAACTTCCATCACAGGAGAAACAAGCTGTGGGGATCTCCTGTACATCAGTTACTACAGTTAATAACAAGACATTGGGTCGCACGCTATGCAGCCTACAAACTAAATGGATTTTAACCATTTCACGATGTATGTGTAGCAAATATTGTTATGCAGCATACATACATTCGCTCCTGACTTGTCAAAACATGAATGAAAAGGAACAGGGCTGAAATGAATACTTTTAAAGAACAATAAGATATTGCACCAGTAAGTGTAGCCTTGGCTTTCGGTGAGGAGCCAGCAGGACTTCATAGGAGACTTGCCCCCATGGTACACGTGTTTCACTTCCCCTCCCTTCTCTCCTTTTAAAAATACCACCTCACCTTAAGAGTTGGAGAAGAGCCAACGTAAAGGGGTGGAGGATTTCCCTGCCAGCCCTCAAGACGGTAGATGTGCCCCACACGGGAGCAAGGCACAAATAACAATTTACCACCGCACTGCCAGATCTGTCGAGGAAGAATGCACACTGTGAATGTGATCGGGAATGCAAAAATAAATAATGGAAAGTTTGTTCTGTAAACGTAAACTTTAAATTAGACATAAATGTCCACACTGAATTCTAAGCTAACCAAATTCTAAAATAATCCATCACGTTAGAAACGTAAGAAACAAGAAGGAAGGACATGGTGAGGTATACAGTAAGTTACAATTAGTGAGTTCCCTCCTGTGTTCTTCTAGATCCGGAGCCCTTTCTTCATATAACCTCAAAATACTGTAATCCCTCAATGCTAATGTTTCTGATGCTAATCTATTTCCTAGCAGGGTGATGACTGTAATCACCTCCTAACTGGCTCTGTAACCTTGAACTCCTCTCTGCTTAACTCTATTTATAGCAAGAGATTACTGAGCTTTGGGTCCTGTTGCCTATCCCCTTGCTTAGAGTTTTTGTTGGTTGCCTTCTGCTTATCACACCTAGGGGGGCCAGGAGTCTCTTAGCGTGGCACTAACGACCCTTTAGTATGGCTCTTACTGCACTTGCCCACTTTGTCTTCAGTGGCTTCCCTGATCACGCTCTTTGACCCCACCTAATGGCTCCTGCACTTGCTCTTCGCACTCAGACCCTCACCCCTCCCCTTACTCCAGGCCTGCCTGCTCTGCCCCCTGTCTCTGCTTATGGAAACCACGCATCTTATTTCCACCTCCAAGTCTATCTCGATCATGGTGGCATTTTCTTCAATCCACCAGCTGAATGCCTCTGTTTTTTTTTTTTAAAATAAGTTCACTATGTTAAAAATTTACAAATATTTCTGATCTATAAGGTTTTTTTCGACAATTATAAGTTGACAGAAAAGATTAGCTGTCTCTAGCCTAACACAATACTAAAACACAGGATTTCTAAGATAAGAAGGAATGAATATCTGAAAAATGGTAATCTCCTTCCCTCCCTGCATCTCTGAAAATGGGGCAGGACTACAGTAGAGTTGGACCAAGTAGGATGGCACCTCCATTGCAGCAGATGGAGGTCGGACCCTGTGTAACTGTGTCTATCACCATGTCCACAGCAGTCGAGGATGTCTATGTCAGAAGATGGTTGATATGCGGCCCTTCAGTGAGCTACTGTAATCCAAGGCTCCAGTGAACACACAGCCCGGGAGCAGGAGAGAGGCCATTTCCATTTCTGAAGCGTGTGGGTCATAATTCTGGGCTGAGCTCTGCAAACTAATCACTTTATTTATCCTAAGAGCTATGCTTTATTGAGGCATTCCTAATAATTTAGAGAAATTCATTATATATATATATTTTTCTAGAAACAAACAAGCAAAAGAAAAAAAAAAACCCCAACTAGCTGGCCTTGATGTCTCACACCCTTAATCTCAACACTCAGGAAGGGCAGAGGCAGGCAGGTCTCTAAGTTCGACGTCAGCCTGGTCTATAAAGAGGGTTCTAGGACAGTCAGGACTACATAGAGAAACCTTGTCTTTAAAACCAACCAACCAACCAACCAACCAACCAACCAACCAACCAACCAATCAACCAACCAACCAACCAACCAACCAAATTAGCTTTATTTGAAAATCATAAAAGTTGGGTACCTAGTAGTAAACAAAAGGCGGTGGGGTGGGGTGGGGGTGGCACATGCCTTTAGTCTCGGCACTTAGGAGGCAAAGGCAGATGGATCTCGGTGAGTTCAAGGACAACCTGGTCTATATAGAGTGGTCCAGGACAGTCAGTGTGGCAGAGAAAGACACCTATCCCCCTCCCCCAAATAAACAAACAACGCCCCAAACTAGTTAGACAAGAGCATTCGTCTGACTGAAATCTTACCTTGTACGAGATTTCAAAGTTTTCACCACCCCAAATCTGGAGACCAGGATCATAGAGACCTAGTTCGAAGAAGAATTCCCTCTCAATGGCAAATAATCCACCTGCCATAGCTGGAGACCTAGGGGAAGGACACTGCATGTGATGACTATTAAAAACAAAGCCCCAGCATCCCTTCAACAACAGACAGACAGCCTTTGGGAACACAGCGTAAGAATGCACAGAAGAGGTGAGACTGATGGCCAAACATTAAGAAACTGTAAATCCTTCACAAAACAATGTGCTCGTAATCTCTCTAAGAATTTACCAAAACTTCTGAAGCAGCTCTATAGACTACTGCGCTGCTTCGCCACTAGAGGGAGCCTTGGTTCTTTTGTTGATTTAAACAATTCTTGGTCATTGACATAAAAATTTCTCTTTCCCAAAACACAGAGCCATGCGGACATTGTCTACTGACTTCTCCCTCAGTGATTTGTGAGTCATTCTGGGATGAATGAAACTATGCACCATGGAAGGAGTCTGTCATTTTTTAATTTTATAGCTCAAGGTCTTGCCAAATAATGGTGTAAATCACTGTAGAACAGTCTGGTTCATTCAGAGTTTGCAAACAGAGCACAAGAATGACTTAAGGATCATCAACTTCCACCATAGTAGGAGGTGGGTGTCCAAAAGGGCTTCCTTATACAGATCTTACGTCTGGTATAATTTAGGAGAAGGAGAAAAAAATATTCTATAACATTTTAGGGTCAAGTCACTCCCACTACTGAATAAATGATAGCAGAATAATGTCACCATATTCTAGGCATTCCTTCTTAGCATTAAACAATAATTAACGCATTATGATTTGTAAGCTGCAGGGAACAGGACACTGTTAGAATTCTGTATTGCTTGTTCACATTAATGTCTGTCTATCACTGGGTCCCACCTTGAAAAGGTGTGGGTGTGTAATTTGTGTAACACTCACTATAGTATAAACTCCACGGGAACATATTTAGAAAAGGTTATTTCTCCCCTAAACTAGTGGCTGGAGTTTCATAAGCAGTCAACAAACCCATGTCAAGCAGATACCGAGTCAGGTTAATATTTTTAGTACTGATGGAAAATCCCATCAAGAAACAGTTGTTCTTTTATGCTTTTTTTTTCTTTCCTTAAAATACACTGCTTAAATCACTAAGCCAGTACATTCTGGTTATGCTTCCCAGACATATTTGCTTAGCTGCCATTTGTCATTATTTCATTACGCTTGTGCTTTTTGCTCTTCAAACATATTCCCATTCATCACCATCCATACTCGGAGGGGTAGCTTTAGCGTGCCCATGAGGAAGATAATTAAAGGGGCTCCCCTTAAGTTTCCCTAAGTTTACTTTTAAAATATGCCTTTTTACAGAACTGTGTGACAAATCAAGGTAGGCATCTTTTGTGTCCTAGGTGACTTTGAACGGGTCAGCAACAGGTTCCTAGATTATTCTGAACCTTAAGGTTTTGTATGAGAATTTGGAAGATGCCCAGGAAAAGCTTGGAGTCCTGAAATTTCTTCATGTTTGCCAGTCAGCGTCCTGATCACAACATGCCCAAATCTACAACACGGAAGCACTGCCCCAAATGAGTTCTGACATTCTGAGAACCGTGACAGGGATAGAGAGATTGGAAGCAGGGCCACAGGAGAGGAACAAACAAGAAACAGACAAACAGTAAGTACACAATGGGCACAGGCTACATGTCCACACATTTCATTTGGGAGCCACCTTGTGAAAGACTAAAATGTTCCAGTTAAAAAGATCAAAAGGAGATCGTAAAGTCGATTGTTTGTCTTGAAGAGCCAAAAGTGGACTTGGGGATGGGGCTTTCTGTGAATCAAGCATTCTTTTGAGAACCAAGCAACAAAGGATTCTCTCCAACATTTTCTAAAGTCGTGGTTTTGTATTCATCGCATTAAACTGATACAAAATTAGTATCAGAGCTTTAGCATACCCAAAAAAAAAAATAAGGGAGAACCCAACAATCTCTTGCTGGTGTGTCCTTCCCTGTTGAACACTGCACCCAAGACTTCAAGGGGCCAATCGCAAGTCTGGAGGTGTCCACAGTTTACATGTTTTGAATTTACAGAATACACTCTGCCGTTTGGTCTCCTAGGACAGCAGGAAAGAGTTGTTTCCTTCTTTCCTGCTTAGGCCTCAAATTAATAACGCCTTTCAGATCACTCTTTCCCGAGTGAAAGAGTATGATTCACGTGAGTTGAGCTTGCATTTAGGGTGAAAGCTTTGTTCCAGGAGCCAATGTGAAACCGTCAAAGCTCTGAGACTGCAAGGAGGAAAAGCTCTGTGACTGCAAGGAGGAAAAGCTCTGTCAGGCTCTGAGACTGACAGACAGCTCCAGTTCTTAGAGTGAGGTTTCAGCATGGCAAGAGGGTTAATAGGTTAGCAGCAACCGGAGAAAGGGGAGGTAGGTAAGTGACTTAGTGATTACCGATACGGCTCAGTTTTTGTCTTTCTCAGTCTCTTCTCCCGAGAGGTCAGAGGCACCCGTTTCCAGAGCATACTCCAATCCCATGCTCCTCGGGCATACCCATCTTCATCACCACCCCCTTGGGGTACAATCTCATATGTGTTGCCGTTTATGACATCTATAATTGGCACAGTGCAAATGGTTCTGTATTGTGTTGATGATGCGGCAAGATCAAATGGAAACAAGTATGGACCCACATAGTTATACGAGTTCATAGGGAAGGAAAAAAAAAGAGGACTTAGGTAAACATTCAACGTAACAAAAAGTAAATAATAATCTTTACCGATAAGGTTCAGTTTTATGTTTTCTTTTGGCCTTTTCCGTGTGGCTTAGTGGAATACGTTTCCATAGCATACTCCAGTCCCAGGCCCCTCTGGCAAAACCATCTTCATCCCCACCTTGCTGTGGTTCAATGGAATAATCATTCCCGTCTATGTAATCTATTAGAGGCACAGTACATGTAGCTCTGAAACATTTACAGAAAATGAAAACGCATTTAAGAACCCCAAACTGACTAGTTCGCCATGCCTAGCTACACGGGCTCTGTTTGGACTTGGTTTCATTCTGCATTAGGAAACGACTGTCTAAAGGGGGCAGACAGTAAAATAAGTTCTCGTGAACGCCAAGCCTGTGTTAGCAGAAGGGCAGAGTGGAGGGGGGTTTATCCTGGCTATCCAAAGAAACGCCTGGGGCAAGAGCCATGCCACGGAGATCATTAAAAGCTTCCTCCTTTTTACTGGCCGCTATCTTGTAGTAATTCTGTAACATTTACAAGATTTCTCTACCTGTTGCTTTCTCTCTCTGTCCCCCATTAAAAATGACTACAAGTCTTTGTGTATACGCTTCCACTGACAGTACCATCGTAACAGATTCTTCCTTCTCTTTGTTCCTTTCTGATCCTTTGGAAGTAGTTATTATGAACACGTCTTTCTTGCTTTTATGTAATTTTCTTCCCTCTTTTAAAACGAGCCACTTAAACAACGCTAAAGCCTCAGGTTCTGTGTTGTATTTTACTTAAGGAAAAAAGAAGAAGCAAGAAAGATGCTTCAGTATCTATTGAGGAACTTAGGGAGTGAACTAAGAATTTGAAGGTTTTGCATTTGGGTTTTATAAAATGCTGGCACTGAATATTCAGCTGGATGCGGAGCTGCTGTCACAATGACATTGGTTCCTGCTCATCATATCAGAAGGGATTGAGAATAGGTTTCTCAAAATTGAGATCACGGAGAAAAAAAATCTATGGGGCTTAGAGCCTTGGTAGGATAGAAGTGGATTCTAGAAGAGAACTTACTTCTCTCCTGAACAGAAGTTCACAGGAGGGCCACCACGTGACACACGGGCTTCCCACCGGAACAAAGGAAAGCTACTTCCTTGCCTCTGGATAGACTTCCACTGGGGACAGTGATCTGGTACCTGGCTCAGGTATCTTGCCTCTTGCCATGTGCTTTTTCACAAGTTAAGATAAATGTTGAAATGTAAAGGAGCCCAGAGAGCTGTCTGCCAGCTCGTTAAATACTAGATTTGTGGCACAATTATTTTCCTAAGCCTCCGTGCTGTTTTCTAAAGTATAGCTAATCATGTCTCCATGGCAGGGCTGCAGAGGGGATGAAGCCAGATGGCATGTGTACAGTGTTTATGATGGGCCTTCCTTCACTGTAAACCTGATGACAAAGTCTCCCAAGTTCTTCATCTGACCTGTGCCATACGCCATAAGAATACGTTGCATTTGCCTAGATTCTGAAACAGTCAGGATTCTGGAGAGGAAGCAAAAGTTCTTGGAGCTAGGGACAGATGCTGCCTTCTGGTGTTTTAGATGGTTCTGTAAATTTAATAGCCATCATTGCTTTCCATGGCTTAGCTGTCTATTTCTAACCCCTGAAGTTTCCATAGGAACCCAGAGACTTGACCCGAGGAACAGTTGGCCCATTACCATCTAATGTAATCATTTCAAAGCTCTTAGGAAACCCAAAGGATTAATGTCAAGTCTTCAGAGAATTTATCCAGTTTAGAGGGGACAACTAATATCACTCTGTAAGAGAGTCTCAACAGAATAGAGACAACTCTGATGGGGACACCTAGCTTCTTCCCGATACAGGCTGGCTACGTTTGGATCAGTCCAAAGCATCCATCTAGCTCCACCCAGGAAATGAACAGCGCAAGGAAAACACTTGTCACACAATATCTGGCAAACTAGATGGAACAGGATCACAGAGAAGAAGAGTGTTTGTCCATCTAGGACAAGGTTTTTATTCAACTAGGAAAGAAAAAAAGAAGCAAGGTGACGTTACCTGTCCTTAGATATGGGGGCTACAAGTGGTGCATACCAGTTAACTGCCACCTCACAGTGGGCATCAAGGTATATCAAAACCTTAAAAAAAAAGAGGCAGGGTGAAAAAATACTCCTCACATACAGTACAGCAAATATTACACACATTTTAAAATTACACGCTAATACAAGTTAGCACTTTCGTCAATCTTGACATATAAGTTATCCGTTCAAACCAACATTCTTATTTCAATTAAAAAAAAAACCCGATGGATAATTCCAAACTGTATCTGATCTTTCCGTATACCAAAAGGGAAGTGCTGACAACCTACACAGGCACGCTAGCACCCACTTCCTACCTGTCCGAGTTTAGCCTTCTGCGCGCCGATGCTCCGAGCTTGAATCAAACCCTCTCTTCTCTCATTTCGGAACACCTTCACGAGCCCATTCCACAGCTTTATGTACTCATCCAGTTTTTCTTTTAGGTGTTCTGTGAATTAAAAAATATCCATCCAACATTACAGAATTTTACATAAATATTTTTTTTGATATTGTAAAAAAAATAAGCAATAAAGAGCTATGCTGTGCAGTCACCAATCAATCAATCGTACACGGGTCAAACCAATGGTGAGATCAATGAACACGGAAGGTGAGGGCGGGAGGTGCACTGCAGTTGTAGACCACGTGTGAGAAGCACTTCCGAGGTCCTGGTTTGGTCTTTTGCCGTCACAACAAAGTAAGAAGGAAGGCAAAATGTGTTACAAGTTAATTTTAAGCTTAATATATCTATGGGGGATTGAGTAGCATAAATGGTTATCAAGCATCCCTGTAAACTTTAAATGGATATTAAAAGTTAAAAATGTCAGGTTCAAAAATGAAAATGAAAAAAATATAATATTTTGCACTTGAAAGAAGTTCAGGATTTCTGAAGATACACAGCTATTGATAAGGCCATGCAATTTCCCTGGAGTCTATGCGAGGCATGGGCTGCTCAAAAATTTGTTTCTGGGCTATCTTTCTCCAACCGTAATAGGTATAGAAAGTCACTGTTTTGCTGTGATCATGTCTAGCCACCAAGTTAGCTGGTAACAATCAAAAGACACATTTTTGTCTGTAGCTTAGTATTACAAGTATGTGTATAATTGAATTATAATCATTGTAATTACATATACATACATGCTTGTGACTTAGTAGAGGGAATTCTGTGTTATGAAAACCGGCACAATTGGCAGGGTTTGCACCTTGGCTTCTCATTGTAAAATAACAGCTTTTGTTTATCATTGTGAGCCCAGGAAACTGGCACACCAGCTAGAATAAGCTCCTGCACCCCGCTGAGACACTTCCTGAAGACACAGAAATTGTCCTAAAATTGTTAAAATTTTGGTTCATCAGTACAAAAACCACCAAAAGAAAAAAATGCTGTATCTAGCTGAGAGCTGGTTGCAAAAATCGGTGTGCTGGACCATATATTTAATAGTTTGTGTGTTTTAGGAGGCTTTTTTATGTGTTTGTTTTGAGATAGAATGTCATATAGCCAAAGCTGGGCTCAAGTTCACTATGTAGCCGAGGCTGCACCTGAACTCTTTTTGTTTTTTGTTTTGTTTTTGTTTTTTGTTTTTTTTTTTTATTTTTAAAGACAGGGTTTCTCTGTATAGCCCTGGTTGTCCTGAAACTCACTTTGTAGACCAGGCTGGCTTCGAACTCAGAAATCCGTCTGCCTCTGACTCCAAAATGCTGGGATTAGAGGCATGTGCCACCACTGCCTGGTGGACCTGAACTCTTAAAAAATTGTTTTAAAATTGTATGTGTATGGTGTTTACTTTGCATGGATGTCTGTGCACCACTTGTGTGCCTGGTTCATGGAGGAGGCCAGAAGACAGCACCTTATCAATTAGGACTGGAGTTACAAATGGTTGTGAGCTGTGTGGATGCTGAGACTCAAACTGTGGTCCTCTGGAAGAGCAGCCAGCCTCTTAACCTCTCTCCAGCTCCCAGTCCTGGGCTCTTGAGCCTCGCCCTCCACCTCTGAAGCACTAATATTACAGGTGTGTATGACAGCACCGGGGAGTTTATTACCAACAAAAAATTCATATGGGTTTTCAGAATTAAGACACACACACACATACACTTTGGCACCAACTTTTAAAGAGTCTTACAAATAGAATTTAAAGTTTAATTATATTTTCCTGCTAAAACGTTTGGTAACTTTTCCCTTTCAAAATTAGTTCTTTCTTTCTTCCTTCCTTCTTTTCTTTCTTTCTTTCTTTCTTTCTTTCTTTCTTTCTTTCTTTCTTTCTTTCTTTCTTCCCTCCCTCCCTCCCTCCCTCCCTCCCTCCCTCCCTCCCTCCCTCCCTCTCTCTCTCTCTCTGTCTTTCTTTCTTTCTTTCTTTCTTTCTTTCTTCCTTTCTTTCTTCCCCCAAAGCTTGGTGCAGTCCTTCCCCATTATTCTCTAAACTCTTTCTGATTCCATTAGGGCTGTCTTTGGGACTTGTTACTTCAACACAAACCTTAAATACATCTTATATGTGCAGAAGCGAGTGACCTACTTTTCAAATTTAGACTTTCAGTCAAGACAAATGGCTTCTCTGTGACCTCACACTGCGGTAGACTGCGTTTAGGACTCAAAAATACCCTTGCCACTTTCTAGGTAAATATTGCCTTCCTACAACCCACATTTGTCAGGCAGGACTTGTGACTGTTGGTGGCACAGGCTTGTCTGGAAAGGTCATGGGTCACTTGTGAGCAAAGCATCAAGACCTCATTAGTATTCCTCAGTCTTCTCACTTGTCCATCTCTGTGGAGCCAGTACACAGCTCAGGCTGCTGTGGATCCATCAGCTGGGAAGCAGAGACTGCTGTGAACAAGGTCCAGTGGGACCGAGAGAACCCTCAGCTGCTGCAGACCTCTAAGGAGGACCAAGGAGACCCTTGGATGCTGCAGACATTAAGTTAGGACCTGAAAAATCTTGGTTGCTGCACACCCCTAAGCACCTGGGGCTGTTCATCTGAAGCTACCTTGGTCTCAGCCACAGATGCAGAAAAGTGGGGAGGAGCCTGCTCTTTTTTTTTCTTATTCGATATTTTATTTCTTTACATTTCAGATGTTATCGTCTTTCTCCATTCCTCCCCCCTCCCATTAATCTCCTATCCCATCCTTTTTTGCTCTTTTTAAAGGTCCCAAATCTTGCTAAGAGGTAATGCTGTCATTACCAGAAGCCTAAATGTTATGAAGAGTAGTAGTTAGATCCTTTAAGAGGTTTTCTGTTTTGTCTCTAGAAGAGAAAACTAACTTCAAGGTTTACTTTTTTAAATCTACTGCGGCAAAGTACTAGCCAAATTTTGATTTGAGCCTTATTAAGCAAATATTACAATTTTTCCGAAGCTAATAGCAACAGATCTTAATGTTGTCTTGAAATTGGAAACACTAATTACAGACCTTCTGGACTTGGGTTCTGGGGGTATCTAAATGTTTCTGCCTACTGTGAGGTACGCAGATCCTGCCTGAGTGTGAGACTTGGAGCCGCAGAGAAGCTCAGGCAGACCGCCAAGAGAAAGTCAGAGGCGCAAAGAGCCCGAGCCTCACGTTCTGCTCCTTGTTGGGGTCAGAAAGCTATTCATAGAGGGCAAAGTACCTATTCTTTTTAAAAATGATTTTAAATACTACTAATAAAATTTCTGCCATCAGTACCAACACAGGTGACTTCAGAAAGTAGTTTTGTAGATTTGGATTTTTTTTCATATACTTAAAAATTACTGGTGGTAGTGTCCACAGTATCACTCGAAAGCATATTTTCTTATTTATTACTTTATATGTAAGAGTGTTTGCTGGTCTGCATGTGAGTGCACCACATGTGCTCTGTGTCCCTGGAGGCCAGAGGAGGGTGTAGGTTCAACTGCAACTGGAGTTACAGATGCTGGTGGGTCACATGGGGGTTGGGAATTCAACCCTGGTCCTTTGCAAGAGCAGCCAGTGCTCTTAACCACCAAGCCACCTCTCCAGCCTGCTAAGGTTTATTTTCAAATGCTTGTCTTGCAGGAAAATAAATAGTTTTGGTAAAAGCATTTGTCACAGAAAACTGCAACTAAGATAAGATATCTACGCTAATAAATATATTTAATTGAGCTTAAAACTTAAAGGTATATGTCTAGAGTAATTAAAATGATTACTAATTGCAGTTATCAGCTGCAGGAAACGAGGGGGAGGGAATAAGTCATAATTTTATTTTTTTCTAGTGCTAGCATATGTGCACAGATCAGGATTCTAGTTATGTCCTTGCAGACACAGAAAACGTTTGTCCAGACATCAAGAGTTCTGAATTGAACTTAGGGGAAGGAAGCTGTATAAAGCTATTCTGAAAGGTATTTTCATGGAACTCAGGTTCTGCCTTCATCCCTAACATCGGATTTTATAGTCATGCCTTATGCAGAAAAACTAGAAAACTTGTTTGCCAAAGTGTAAACACCCTGTTGTTATTGAGTAATTGAGCACTTCAGTCAGTTCAAAAACTTCAACTGCTTTGTGACCAGCAAGATATATATATATATATATATATATATATATATATATATATA